GGAGATGGAGCTGCAGTGATATGTTGCCTTACTAATAAACAAAAATATAAGAAAAACTTTTGATTATGCAGAAAAGTCACTATTATCACGAGTCAAGCAAAAAATCTATTTAGTGCATTTCCTCATCATAGATGACAGTAAATCTAAATGTTTCTGGATAGCTGTTTAAATGAAAGAATTAAGGTATTTTTTTACTATTACGTCATTACTGGAAATAATAATTGTCTTGAGTGGGGTGCAAGTTTAATTCTTGCCACAAAAATCATAAAGGTCTAAGATTTATCCAGATCATTTACTTAAAGGAATTAGTCCAGAATTTCCTAGGTGTAGAAAAATCCTTTACCAGCTCTTTATCGTCTGAAGGATATTAAAGGTTGATAGGAATTTGCCCAACCAGTCTACTTGCACATTGTGGACTTGGAGAGCGAATTCTCCTGGGGATCCTGTGGGGCTACTTTGGAAGGATGGGGTATCTGACCCATTGTTACAGCCCATTAGGTTGCTGTACAACCACAGTGAGAGTTTGGTCCATACTGGCAACAACAGTTCGGGATCATTCTTGTTTGTGTTGGACTCCTCCAGGGCTGCCCTTTGTCACTGATTCTGTTCATAATGTTTATAGACAAGGTTTCTAGGCCATGTAAGAGAGGGTCTCCCCTTTGGTGGTTGCAGGATCTCTTTTCTACTTTTTGCAGATGATGTGACTCTGTTGCCTTTATCAGTTGGCAACTTCCACCTCACACTGGTGTAGTTTGCTGCAACAGGAATAAGAATTAGCACTTCAGAGTCTGAAGCCATGAATTTTAGTAGGAAAAGGGTGGACCATCCACTCTGGGTCAAGAATAAGTTGCTACCCCAGGTGGGTCTTGTTCATGAGTGTCATTGTGCCATGTCTCAATCAATGTAGGCGATGGACCACTTCGTTGTGGTGAAGTGAGAGCTTAGTGTGAAAAGAAAGTTCGATTTACCAGTCGATCTACGTTCCTACTCTCAACTACGGTCAAGAGCTCTGGGTCGTGACTCAAAGAATGAAACTGTAGATACAAGTGCATACAAGTGGAACAGTTTCCTCCGAAAGCTGGCTAGGCTATCCTTTAGCGATAGGGTGAGGAGTTCATTCTGAAGGGACTCAAGAGTAGAGATGCTACTGTTCCACATCAAAAGGAGCCAGTTGAGGTGGGTTAGCACATCTGACTAGGATGCCTCTTGGATGCCTCCTACACAAGGTGTTCCAGCATGACCTCTCCAGGAAGAGGCTCCAGGGCAGACCTAGGGACACACTGAAGATTTTATACGTCTTGGTTGGCTTGGGAACATCTCAGTGACTTCCTCTGCATGAGCTGGAGGAGGTGACTGGTGAGAGGGAGGTCAGGGTTTCGCTCCTTAGACTCCTGCCCCCTCATCCCAGAGTCAGATGAGCAGCAGAAAATAGATGGATGGATGGATTTAGAAAAATCTGGATTTGCAAAGTCACTACCAGCTATTGCAATTCTGTCAAGTAAAAATGGCACCAATCTGCAGGCGGCATCAACAGTATCATTACTACATGATGGTTGTGTACTTCCACCAAAAAGTCAAGATGCAGTTTTCATCTGTCTCTGTTCAGAATTGACCTTTGACCTTTTGGATGTAAAATGTCACTTTGTTTTACACTCTCAGTCAGTCAGTGTGAAATTTCGTTGCTGTTACTTATATAAAAAATATATTTTGTAAGGTTAAAAAAAACCTCTGACCACCAAATTTTCATCAGGTAAGTGCACATAGGGGTGGTTGCAAATAAAGATTCCTTTATGGCTTTCAAGACAAAAAATGGGAAAAGATGGATGGATGCAGGTATGGATGGATGACAACCCCATTACATAATGACTATTGCCACAATTGTTACCAGTGCACATGAATACAACCGTAAAAGAAATGTAAAGCAACAGACTGCATTAAAAAAAGGATAATTTTGTAATTTTTCCCAAGTCTCGCGTTTGTTCTCAGTTTCAGGATTTTTTACTATTCTCTACTAATAATGGCTCAATCTCCTACCGGCTGGCTCTACCTCACCGTCACCACATTGGGTAGGATGCTGCATTTCATGTAGCAGTTATGTAGATTTCGTCACTTGGAAGGCTCAGTGAGCCTCTACTCCAGAAAGAAATCCTCTTCATTAGCGTTAAAATAACAGAATAAGGTTTGGAGCCTGATGTTCCCACCTCCTAGTATATTTTAAATGCCTGATTTCAATGTGGACTAGACCCAACATCTTAAGAAAGACAAGAGCCACTGTCTCCTGTTTTATCATTTCCATTTACGTTTTGGGTGAAACGGATACATCTGATGTCAGGGATAAAAATTCCTCTCGCTCATGTCCATCAGTAGATTCATTGTGGTGAAGACTGTCCAAATTGTCTTTCCCCAGAGGCTGTTCAGCAGCAGTCACTTGAACTCCACAATTTCATTTTTGCAGATATAAAGGTGTATTAAGGTGGAATGGCTTCTCCACGCTCTCCTCTCTCATCGCGCCAGCTTCACTTCAAACACCTTTTCCATTTCTGCTATTAAATCAGAGCCAGAAGCAGCAGCACCTCCTCAAATGCAGGTTTGCTGCAGAAATCCAGCAAGTTTTCACAACCCAAGGAAAGAGGAAAAATCCAACCCGCCGTCAAAAATAGTGATGCTCTCTCTCTCTCTCTCTCTCTCTCTCTCTCTCTCTCATACAGCTTACTAAAAACACTCCACTGCTCAGTTTCAGTTGGAAATCAATGTGATTTCTCCAGTGTTTGCTGCCCTAATTCACATTTCCTGTTCTAGTTTTTAAGGCGCACTCAGCTGATGCTTTAATTATTGTTATTAATATTATTATTATTATTATTTAAATAAAACTGGTATTTAAAATATACACATTGTGCTGTATTGGAGCAGAGGTTCATCTGCATGATATACAACAGGTAGGTAGTAGATTTACACGATTAAAACAGCTCGTCCTACACGGAAACGGGCTGATTTGCGCTTTTCTGCCCGCCACCCCAAACTCCAGTTCAGAAAGTCTCTGCAAAACAGGTTTTGTGATTTTCCTAAACCTCCGAGGTGCACTTTAGATTAGTTACATAAACAGTAATTTAGTTACTTTTAGGAAAAGTGAATTAAGCTACTTCTAGTAAGGAAATAAAGAATGAATGGGGCTTAACGCGTCCAAGTTGGCTAAAATGCGGATGAAAGCTTCGTACCTGTCTGCAGGCTGATCCAGTGTCTCAGAGCAGGAGGCTCTCCGTCCTCAGCTGCCTCATCACACTGATATTGCTCCTGATGCTGCTGCTGATGATGATGGTGATGATGATGATGACGATGATGATGCTGACTGTTGTGGGCGACAGGCGGAGGGGCACGCAAGGCTCTGTGGTAAAGTTACCACTCGCAGTCAAGTGTTCAGAGCCTGCGCATTGAAGCGGAGCTAGTGCTGCCTTCAAAGCCTGTCGGGAAAAGGCGGGCTATCGAGAGAATCTCGTGCAAGACTGTATGTCAAAAAGTACGTGGGCACCTCTGCTTTACATTTTATGTTTCTATTTTTTGGTTATTACATTCCTGAAAATAACTGAATAGCAATAAATAACTACTGTATCTAAGTAATAATAATAATAATGATGATAATAATAACTTTTAAAATACCCCAAATTAGTATTATTCCACAGAATGTGTAGCTTTTTGTTTTTGTTTTGTTTTTGGGTGGGGGTGGGGGGGGTAATCAAAATTAGGGATGCCAAACATAAGGCCCACGGGCCAGAATCAGCCAGGGAAAGACTCCAATCCAAGCAACTGGAAAGCTTTTGGAAAATGTCAAAGAGATTGAAAAGCTGTATTATAGTTTAACAGCTTTTCCTATTGATGCAGATGTCCCCCATCGCCATGCATTGCCGTAGTAGTTAAATATTAGATAAAATAGCAGAAAGGGTTTTTACCCTTTTTTACTCTCTGCTATATTTATTATGTTTGAGACACCCAGGATATAAAATAAGTTTGGTATTCCTGGTGTAGATGGTTTAATGTTTCTGAGACTTAAATAGTCACTGCAAATAGGTTCAGTGTCTATATGAAAGATAGACACCAGTAAGTTCTTTTAAAGTTCTTTTGCACTGAAGCACTGCAGCAATTTCCTAATGTTGTAAACCTCAACATCTGGCAATAAACCCCATTCTGATTCTGATTCTGATTCTGATTCTAAAAGAACATGGTTTTGAAATAAATTTGGATACAACTTTATGATGTACATATTATTGATACACATGTCCACATACGTGTAGTTGATGTTTCTTAGATGACAAAGAAAAACGACTTGCAAGACACATTCGTTTCAAATTTCCTACAAGAGTCTGTTGGATATTTCCATTTGACAAACTATGTTTAAATTAGAGTTGATGAATATTTTGATGCTGTGAGACACATTTATGACCAATGTGTGATTAGGGTCTAATTTTATACACATGCAGTTTCTCTGTGAAACACAGGACGCGAGAAACCTGCACCAGCAATAATTTTAACATCGTTTCCGGAAGAAAGAAGGAAGTGACGGGACGCTCTTGAAGGCAGCACATAACAATTCGGTGAGCGTAGACAACGAGTGAGTGCTTGATAGTTGGCACGCTATGGTATAACTGTAAAGTACACTGATACGTTTTACATTTTCAAAGTTGGAGTGGAAGAAGCTTTTTTTTCTTGTTCTGTATATTTCATGATATTTAAATGAGGTTTGTGAAGGAATTTCAATTGCTGTAAAAAAGCCCATAACAAAGAAATCTGTAATTAAGCTAACACAGAAGTTTCACACTGTGCACAGGGACTTATTCACACAGTAAACTGTGAATTATCTGTATATAACATGAAGCATATTCGTGATGATATGTTACCATAGTTATGAACTTTGTCTCCATCTAGTGTGCAAACATATTGACTACAGATTGAAAACTGTGCTTTTTATTAATTTCACTATAGACACACAAACACACACACAAACATAGTTTTGGATATAATAGCATTTATTGTCTATAACATTGCAAACAAGTTAAGTTAAAGCCTATCAGAATACAAACACGAGCAGTTATCCAATAAAATTCCAAAGGTCATTAAAAGCTATTTATATAGCCGGTTCAATAGCCCCACTTTGTACAGAGATATGGAAAGAAAACAGAGTCCAGACAGATTTCTAGTGTGGCAAATTAGGTTCAAAGTAGCAAAGTATTAATAAAAAATATAGTTTTAGCAGTACATTTGCTCTGTTTGATCATACGCTTTTCATTTCAGCTTTGCATTGCTATTGTCTCTTTACATTTTAGCTACAGCGACAACAGTATCTTGGTGCAATACGTACATATTCTTTGTTCTATCTTAACTGCATTATGCTATTGTAGTTTGTATATACTGTAAGCGTTATAGTGAAATTACTGTAAACACAATTTGGAATGTCAGTAAAATAAATTGATTTTTGCATCAGTCTCAAACAGTCAGAAATTTTAGTTGACGGCACTGGTGATTATCATTTTGTAAAGTACACACACAAGTAAATTAGTCAATAGTGAAAAACTGCAAAATGAGTTTTAGAGATTTTGGTAAGCAAAAGTCAAACATTCTGCATCTTGAGCAAGGATATTTGCTAAGGCCTTGCTACAATTAGAAGTAAGGACACAGTTATACACATTGTTAGTATCTTCAACAGACTGTCAGCGTGAATTACAGGAATGCATATTTTTTTTGTAGGTCAGCATCATAGCACAGCACATCACCATCATGTTGTAATGCCTGAACACTGACAGATTGTTCTCTGTGATCGGTAAGTTAAACATGCTAACTTCCTTTCCCAGTTTCCAGCATGTTTTCATTCACTTGTCTCCTCTGACATTCAGGTCTAGGCAAAGAGAAATAGTATCTTTACACATGAATTATTTCCAGTTGCCTCACTTCTCAGCATCGTCAAAGAACCTCATTTTCTCAGAGTGCACAGAGTCTCTCAGTCGCTGTATAGATGACGCTGTCTCACCAGAGATGGGCTCAGAAGAGTCAAATACATGAGTAATTTGTTTGGTTATAACAATTGTCTCTCTGCTTTCACTTCTTTCAGTTGAGGTTTTCGTCACTAAGTGCCTCTCAAACACCGCTCTGTTGCCACTGTCTGAGCCTTCCACAGTCCATGATGTAGTTTCATTAGCTTCTGATTTTAAGGGAAGGCCTTCAGCTAATTCAGCTTCAATATCAGTTAGTAACTGGGCATGCTGTGCTTCTGGGGTTGCTTGTATATTTGTTGTAATGACGTGTAGTTTTCCCGATTCCAATCTGCACGTGTCTTCTGATGACGATGATATTCCAGAGGACAGAATAGTGATTTTCTCCGGTAAGTTAGGCTGAACTGAGATCAGTTCAGTCCTCGTGGCCGAAGTAAAGATGTTACTGTGTGTCTCTTCAAGCTCAGTAGCAACATTTGGATCAGAATATTTGACAGTTACCTTTGTTGGGGAAGATATGGATGGGCCAACATGCTCACTTGTGACTGCAGAACTTATATCAGCGAAGGCATCCGATGATTGGACAGAAAAGGTGGGGCTAATTTCCTCGTCCCCCGTTCCCCCTACTGGGCTCTTTTCATCCTTTTGTTCACATTTCTCAGGAGCACTGGGGGCTTCTGAAGGGGAAGACAGGCCAAACTTAGGAAATTTAAACCAACCTGTCCTCTCGGGACTCTTGGAAATATCTTGTATGGTACTTGCTCCTTTTTCCTTTGCTTCTAATTGCTTTCCAGCATGTTCGCCTATTTCTTGAACTTCTTTTGAGACTACAAGATTTTCTTCAACTTGGTCTGCTTTTGGAACATCAAATTCAACATCAATAGTCTTTAGGATCTCACCAAATGATGTCAGAATCATTTTTGGTGATTTACTTTCTCCTTTTGTTTCAACTTCCATTTCCAGTTGAGCTTCTTTATCTTCTATTTCAACAGGAAGCTGTTCCTCTTCAGGTTTAGACTTTGAGAAGCTAAGCCTGGGCATTTTAAAAGATGGTAGTTTGAATTTACTTGGTGATGGAAGACCCACAACATCAGTCTCAGTCTTGGGTGTTTCGGATTCTGATATTATACCTTTGGAATAATCCATTTTAATATTAACAATCGAATCTTTGTTGGTGACAGAAATATCCTCCTTAGGTTTAGATCCATGAATGTCAATTACTTTTCCTGTTTTGGGTGCTTCCATGGTAACGTCAAAGGAAGCACTGCTAAATTTTGGCATTTTCAGTGGTGAAATTTTTTCTTTTAAAGGGGATCCTTCAGCATCTTTTGATTTTGCTTTTGTCTCAGAAGACTTGATTCCCAAACTAGATGAAGATTGTTTGACTTCTTCTGAGATTTTGACCTCTGCTTTTATTTCTGGCCGTTTGCTGTCAACATTGTTTATTGATGATTTTAAATCCACTTCAGGTCCTTTTGGTTTTGTTTGTACAATGCCTAAATTTGGGAACTTAAATGGGCTTCCTTGCCCAGCTTCTTGCTCAGGAGCTTTAATTTCCATTTCAGGTTGTTTAACTTTTATTTCTCCCTCTGAAACAGAAACATCAGCTTGTGGAAGCTCATCACTTAACTCCGATTCTTTAATACTTGACTTTGAAAAAGAAAATCTCGGAAGTGAAAATTTAGGTTTTTTCAAGTTTGTTTCAGTTTCTTCAGCAGGTGGTTCTTCCATTGAAGGTCCTTTGATTTCAGCTTCTGCTAGACAGACTTCTGTTTTGCTTGATATAATCTCAGCTTTGGGTGTTTCAATTTTGACATCAATAGCTGGGGCCTTATCGGCTGTCCTTGAAAAGGAAAATTTTGGAAATGTCCAACTTGGTCGTTTTGACTTGACTTCGGCCTCAATTGTAGGTGTTTCCGGAAATGAAGTAGAACCCTCAGTTTCTTTCCCTTCAATATGGAGTAGTTTGATGTCAGCTGTTACCTCTGGTAAGGAAATATCAACATCTTTCTTTGATAAACTTAAATCTGTTTCAGGACTTTTAACTTTGGTCATTGAGATGGCCAGATTTGGCATTTTAAACTTGCTTCCAGATATCTCATCTCCTTTAGCTTTCACATCTACAGCTAAACCTTCAGAGTCAATGCCGGGTGCTGCATCAATTTTAATTCCTTTATTCACATCACTTACTTCCATACTGAACTCATTGTCAGGTTGTTTGACTATATCACCTTGCAGAAAAATAACATCAGTTTTTGGGAGACTGATATCGACTTCAGGGTCTTTTACACTTTGCTTGGAAAATGAAAATTTTGGCAATGAAAATCTTGGCTTTTTCAATTTAGCCTCAAGGTTTGTATTGGTTCCCCCCTCTATGATAATATGTGAGGATTCTTTAAGGTCGGTATCTGGAAGATGTACATCTGTTTTGACTTCTGGTAGTATGACATCAACTCCGGGAACATCAATGCTGATATCTTCCTCAGGGGCCTTACCAGCTTTGTCAGCTTTGGCTTTTGGAAGTGTAACATCTACATCTTTCTTCGATAAGCTTAAATCAATGTCAGGCCCTTTTGTTTGAGGGAAAGACAATCCAAGACTTGGCAGTTTGAACTTACTTCCTTTTACTTCATGTTCAGATCCACTGGTTTTCAAGGAGATTGAAGGTTCTTTTAATTCAGTGCTGGGTGCTGCAACGCCAACTTCAAAAACCTCTTCAGGAACCTCAATATCAGCACCATCTATTTTCATACCTTTGTCCATATCCGGTGCCTCTGCTGTTGAACTTGTGACACCCACTCCAAATTTTGGCAATTGGAATGTTGGCATCTTAAACTTTGATGGTGATCCTATCTTTCCCTTTGTTTCAATCTTTATCTCAGGAGCTTCAATTTCCACTTCAACAGAAGGTTTTTCAATTTCAACATCAGGGAGTTTGACTTCAGCTTTGGCTTCTGGAAGTGTAACATCAACATCTTTCTTTGATAAACTTAAATCGATGTCACTTTGGTTTGAGGGACAGACAATCCAAGACTTGGCAGTTTGAACTTACTTCCTTTGCCTTCATGTTCAGCTCCTGCAGTTTTCAGGGTGAGTGAAGGTTCTTTGAATTCAGTGCTGGGTGCTGCTATGTTAACTTCAAGAACCTCTTCAGGGATACTCATATCACCACCATCTACTTTAACATCTGTGTCCAAATCAGGTACTTTTGCTGTGGCACTTGGGATACCAATGCCAAATCTGGGTAATTTGAATGTAGGCATCTTAAATTTTGATGGTGATCCTTTTTTGTCTTTTGTCTCAACTTTGAACTCAGGAGCTTCAATTTCCACTTCAACAGAAGGTTTCTCTACTTCAACATCAGGGAGTTTGACTTCAGCTTTGGCTTCTGGAAGTGTAACATCTACGTCTTCGATAAGCTTAAATCAATGTCAGGCCCTTTGGTTTTTGGGACAGACAATCCAAGACTTGGCAGTTTGAACTTACTTCCTTTTCCTTCATGTTCAGATCCACTGGTTTTCAAGGAGATTGAAGGTTCTTTTAATTCAGTGCTGGGTGCTGCAATGTTAACTTCAAGAACCTCTTCAGGAATCTCAATATCAGCACCATCTATTTTTATGCCTTTGTCCATATCCGGTACCTCTGCTGTTGAACTTGTGACACCCACTCCAAATTTTGGCAATTGGAATGTTGGCATCTTAAACTTTGATGGTGATCCTTTCTTTCCCTTTGTTTCAATCTTTATCTCAGGAGCTTCAATTTCCACTTCAACACAAGGTTTTTCAACTTCAACATCAGGGAGTTTGACTTCAGCTTTGGCTTCTGGAAGTGTAACATCAACATCTTTCTTTGATAAACTTAAATCGATATCTGGTCCTTTGGCTTGAGGGACAGACAATCCAAGACTTGGCAGTTTGAACTTACTTCCTTTGCCTTCATGTTCAGCTCCTGCAGTTTTCAGGGTGAGTGAAGGTTCTTTGAATTCAGTGCTGGGTGCTGCTATGTTAACTTCAAGAACCTCTTCAGGGATACTCATATCACCACCATCTACTTTAACATCTGTGTCCAAATCAGGTACTTTTGCTGTGGCACTTGGGATACCAATGCCAAATTTGGGTAATTTGAATGTAGGCATCTTAAATTTTGATGGTGATCCTTTTTTGTCTTTTGTCTCAACTTTGAACTCAGGAGCTTCAATTTCAACAGAAGGTTTCTCTACTTCAACATCAGGGAGTTTGACTTCAGCTTTAGCTTCTGGAAGTGCAGCATCTACATCTTTCTTCGATAAGCTTAAATCAATGTCAGGCCCTTTGGTTTTTGGGACAGACAATCCAAGACTTGGCAGTTTGAACTTACTTCCTTTTCCTTCATGTTCAGATCCACTGGTTTTCAAGGAGATTGAAGGTTCTTTTAATTCAGTGCTGGGTACTGCAATGTTAACTTCAAGAACCTCTTCAGGAATCTCAATATCAGCACCATCTATTTTTATGCCTTTGTCCATATCCGGTACCTCTGCTGTTGCACTTGTGACACCCACTCCAAATTTTGGCAATTGGAATGTTGGCATCTTAAACTTTGATGGTGATCCTTTCTTTCCCTTTGTTTCAATCTTTATCTCAGGAGCTTCAATTTCCACTTCAACAGAAGGTTTTTCAACTTCAACATCAGGGAGTTTGACTTCAGCTTTGGCTTCTGGAAGTGTAACATCAACATCTTTCTTTGATAAACTTAAATTGATATCTGGTCCTTTGGCTTGAGGGACAGACAATCCAAGACTTGGCAGTTTGAACTTACTTCCTTTTCCTTCATGTTCAGCTCCTGTAGTTTTCAGGGTGAGTGAAGGTTCTTTGAATTCAGTGCTGGGTGCTGCTATGTTAACTTCAAGAACCTCTTCAGGGATACTAATATCACCACCATCTACTTTAACATCTGTGTCCAAATCAGGTACTTTTGCTGTGGCACTTGGGATACCAATGCCAAATCTGGGTAATTTGAATGTAGGCATCTTAAATTTTGATGGTGATCCTTTTTTGTCTTTTGTCTCAACTTTGAACTCAGGAGCTTCAATTTCCACTTCAACAGAAGGTTTCTCTACTTCAACATCAGGGAGTTTGACTTCAGCTTTGGCTTCTGGAAGTGTAACATCTACGTCTTTCTTCGATAAGCTTAAATCAATGTCAGGCCCTTTGGTTTTTGGGACAGACAATCCAAGACTTGGCAGTTTGAACTTACTTCCTTTTCCTTCATGTTCAGATCCACTGGTTTTCAAGGAGATTGAAGGTTCTTTTAATTCAGTGCTGGGTGCTGCAATGTTAACTTCAAGAACCTCTTCAGGAATCTCAATATCAGCACCATCTATTTTTATGCCTTTGTCCATATCCGGTACCTCTGCTGTTGAACTTGTGACACCCACTCCAAATTTTGGCAATTGGAATGTTGGCATCTTAAACTTTGATGGTGATCCTTTCTTTCCCTTTGTTTCAATCTTTATCTCAGGAGCTTCAATTTCCACTTCAACACAAGGTTTTTCAACTTCAACATCAGGGAGTTTGACTTCAGCTTTGGCTTCTGGAAGTGTAACATCAACATCTTTCTTTGATAAACTTAAATCGATATCTGGTCCTTTGGCTTGAGGGACAGACAATCCAAGACTTGGCAGTTTGAACTTACTTCCTTTGCCTTCATGTTCAGCTCCTGTAGTTTTCAGGGTGAGTGAAGGTTCTTTGAATTCAGTGCTGGGTGCTGCTATGTTAACTTCAAGAACCTCTTCAGGGATACTAATATCACCACCATCTACTTTAACATCTGTGTCCAAATCAGGTACTTTTGCTGTGGCACTTGGGATACCAATGCCAAATCTGGGTAATTTGAATGTAGGCATCTTAAATTTTGATGGTGATCCTTTTTTGTCTTTTGTCTCAACTTTGAACTCAGGAGCTTCAATTTCCACTTCAACAGAAGGTTTCTCTACTTCAACATCAGGGAGTTTGACTTCAGCTTTGGCTTCTGGAAGTGTAACATCCATCTTTCTTCGATAAGCTTAAATCAATGTCAGGCCCTTTGGTTTTTGGGACAGACAATCCAAGACTTGGCAGTTTGAACTTACTTCCTTTTCCTTCATGTTCAGATCCACTGGTTTTCAAGGAGATTGAAGGTTCTTTTAATTCAGTGCTGGGTGCTGCAATGTTAACTTCAAGAACCTCTTCAGGAATCTCAATATCAGCACCATCTATTTTTATGCCTTTGTCCATATCCGGTACCTCTGCTGTTGAACTTGTGACACCCACTCCAAATTTTGGCAATTGGAATGTTGGCATCTTAAACTTTGATGGTGATCCTTTCTTTCCCTTTGTTTCAATCTTTATCTCAGGAGCTTCAATTTCCACTTCAACAGAAGGTTTTTCAACTTCAACATCAGGGAGTTTGACTTCAGCTTTGGCTTCTGGAAGTGTAACATCAACATCTTTCTTTGATAAACTTAAATTGATATCTGGTCCTTTGGCTTGAGGGACAGACAATCCAAGACTTGGCAGTTTGAACTTACTTCCTTTTCCTTCATGTTCAGATCCACTGGTTTTCAAGGAGATTGAAGGTTCTTTTAATTCAGTGCTGGGTACTGCAATGTTAACTTCAAGAACCTCTTCAGGAATCTCAATATCAGCACCATCTATTTTTATGCCTTTGTCCATATCCGGTACCTCTGCTGTTGAACTTGTGACACCCACTCCAAATTTTGGCAATTGGAATGTTGGCATCTTAAACTTTGATGGTGATCCTTTCTTTCCCTTTGTTTCAATCTTTATCTCAGGAGCTTCAATTTCCACTTCAACAGAAGGTTTTTCAACTTCAACATCAGGGAGTTTGACTTCAGCTTTGGCTTCTGGAAGTGTAACATCAACATCTTTCTTTGATAAACTTAAATTGATATCTGGTCCTTTGGCTTGAGGGACAGACAATCCAAGACTTGGCAGTTTGAACTTACTTCCTTTTCCTTCATGTTCAGCTCCTGTAGTTTTCAGGGTGAGTGAAGGTTCTTTGAATTCAGTGCTGGGTGCTGCTATGTTAACTTCAAGAACCTCTTCAGGGATACTAATATCACCACCATCTACTTTAACATCTGTGTCCAAATCAGGTACTTTTGCTGTGGCACTTGGGATACCAATGCCAAATCTGGGTAATTTGAATGTAGGCATCTTAAATTTTAATGGTGATCCTTTTTTGTCTTTTGTCTCAACTTTGAACTCAGGAGCTTCAGTTTCCACTTCAACAGAAGGTTTCTCTACTTCAACATCAGGGAGTTTGATTTCAGCTTTAGCTTCTGGAAGTGTAACATCTACGTCTGTCTTCGATAAGCTTAAATCAATGTCAGGCCCTTTTGTTTGAGGGACAGACAATCCAAGACTTGGCAGTTTGAACTTACTTCCTTTACCTTCATGTTCATATCCACTGGTTTTCAAGGAGATTGAAGGTTCTTTTAATTCAGTGCTGGGTACTGCAATGTTAACTTCAAGAACTTCTTCAGGAATCTCAATATCAGCACCATCTATTTTCATACCGTTCCCCATATCCGGTACCTCTGCTGTTGAACTTGTGACACCCACTCCAAATTTTGGCAGTTGGAATGTTGGCATCTTAAACTTTGATGGTGATCCTTTCTTTCCCTTTGTTTCAATCTTTATCTCAGGAGCTTCAATTTCCACTTCAACAGAAGGTTTTTCAATTTCAACATCAGGGAGTTTGACTTCAGCTTTGGCTTCTGGAAGTGTAACATCAACATCTTTCTTTGATAAACTTAAATCGATGTCACTTTGGTTTGAGGGACAGACAATCCAAGACTTGGCAGTTTGAACTTACTTCCTTTGCCTTCATGTTCAGCTCCTGCAGTTTTCAGGGTGAGTGAAGGTTCTTTGAATTCAGTGCTGGGTGCTGCTATGTTAACTTCAAGAACCTCTTCAGGGATACTCATATCACCACCATCTACTTTAACATCTGTGTCCAAATCAGGTACTTTTGCTGTGGCACTTGGGATACCAATGCCAAATCTGGGTAATTTGAATGTAGGCATCTTAAATTTTGATGGTGATCCTTTTTTGTCTTTTGTCTCAACTTTGAACTCAGGAGCTTCAATTTCCACTTCAACAGAAGGTTTCTCTACTTCAACATCAGGGAGTTTGACTTCAGCTTTGGCTTCTGGAAGTGTAACATCTACGTCTTCGATAAGCTTAAATCAATGTCAGGCCCTTTGGTTTTTGGGACAGACAATCCAAGACTTGGCAGTTTGAACTTACTTCCTTTTCCTTCATGTTCAGATCCACTGGTTTTCAAGGAGATTGAAGGTTCTTTTAATTCAGTGCTGGGTGCTGCAATGTTAACTTCAAGAACCTCTTCAGGAATCTCAATATCAGCACCATCTATTTTTATGCCTTTGTCCATATCCGGTACCTCTGCTGTTGAACTTGTGACACCCACTCCAAATTTTGGCAATTGGAATGTTGGCATCTTAAACTTTGATGGTGATCCTTTCTTTCCCTTTGTTTCAATCTTTATCTCAGGAGCTTCAATTTCCACTTCAACACAAGGTTTTTCAACTTCAACATCAGGGAGTTTGACTTCAGCTTTGGCTTCTGGAAGTGTAACATCAACATCTTTCTTTGATAAACTTAAATCGATATCTGGTCCTTTGGCTTGAGGGACAGACAATCCAAGACTTGGCAGTTTGAACTTACTTCCTTTGCCTTCATGTTCAGCTCCTGCAGTTTTCAGGGTGAGTGAAGGTTCTTTGAATTCAGTGCTGGGTGCTGCTATGTTAACTTCAAGAACCTCTTCAGGGATACTCATATCACCACCATCTACTTTAACATCTGTGTCCAAATCAGGTACTTTTGCTGTGGCACTTGGGATACCAATGCCAAATTTGGGTAATTTGAATGTAGGCATCTTAAATTTTGATGGTGATCCTTTTTTGTCTTTTGTCTCAACTTTGAACTCAGGAGCTTCAATTTCAACAGAAGGTTTCTCTACTTCAACATCAGGGAGTTTGACTTCAGCTTTAGCTTCTGGAAGTGCAGCATCTACATCTTTCTTCGATAAGCTTAAATCAATGTCAGGCCCTTTGGTTTTTGGGACAGACAATCCAAGACTTGGCAGTTTGAACTTACTTCCTTTTCCTTCATGTTCAGATCCACTGGTTTTCAAGGAGATTGAAGGTTCTTTTAATTCAGTGCTGGGTACTGCAATGTTAACTTCAAGAACCTCTTCAGGAATCTCAATATCAGCACCATCTATTTTTATGCCTTTGTCCATATCCGGTACCTCTGCTGTTGCACTTGTGACACCCACTCCAAATTTTGGCAATTGGAATGTTGGCATCTTAAACTTTGATGGTGATCCTTTCTTTCCCTTTGTTTCAATCTTTATCTCAGGAGCTTCAATTTCCACTTCAACAGAAGGTTTTTCAACTTCAACATCAGGGAGTTTGACTTCAGCTTTGGCTTCTGGAAGTGTAACATCAACATCTTTCTTTGATAAACTTAAATTGATATCTGGTCCTTTGGCTTGAGGGACAGACAATCCAAGACTTGGCAGTTTGAACTTACTTCCTTTTCCTTCATGTTCAGCTCCTGTAGTTTTCAGGGTGAGTGAAGGTTCTTTGAATTCAGTGCTGGGTGCTGCTATGTTAACTTCAAGAACCTCTTCAGGGATACTAATATCACCACCATCTACTTTAACATCTGTGTCCAAATCAGGTACTTTTGCTGTGGCACTTGGGATACCAATGCCAAATCTGGGTAATTTGAATGTAGGCATCTTAAATTTTGATGGTGATCCTTTTTTGTCTTTTGTCTCAACTTTGAACTCAGGAGCTTCAATTTCCACTTCAACAGAAGGTTTCTCTACTTCAACATCAGGGAGTTTGACTTCAGCTTTGGCTTCTGGAAGTGTAACATCTACGTCTTTCTTCGATAAGCTTAAATCAATGTCAGGCCCTTTGGTTTTTGGGACAGACAATCCAAGACTTGGCAGTTTGAACTTACTTCCTTTTCCTTCATGTTCAGATCCACTGGTTTTCAAGGAGATTGAAGGTTCTTTTAATTCAGTGCTGGGTGCTGCAATGTTAACTTCAAGAACCTCTTCAGGAATCTCAATATCAGCACCATCTATTTTTATGCCTTTGTCCATATCCGGTACCTCTGCTGTTGAACTTGTGACACCCACTCCAAATTTTGGCAATTGGAATGTTGGCATCTTAAACTTTGATGGTGATCCTTTCTTTCCCTTTGTTTCAATCTTTATCTCAGGAGCTTCAATTTCCACTTCAACACAAGGTTTTTCAACTTCAACATCAGGGAGTTTGACTTCAGCTTTGGCTTCTGGAAGTGTAACATCAACATCTTTCTTTGATAAACTTAAATCGATATCTGGTCCTTTGGCTTGAGGGACAGACAATCCAAGACTTGGCAGTTTGAACTTACTTCCTTTGCCTTCATGTTCAGCTCCTGTAGTTTTCAGGGTGAGTGAAGGTTCTTTGAATTCAGTGCTGGGTGCTGCTATGTTAACTTCAAGAACCTCTTCAGGGATACTAATATCACCACCATCTACTTTAACATCTGTGTCCAAATCAGGTACTTTTGCTGTGGCACTTGGGATACCAATGCCAAATCTGGGTAATTTGAATGTAGGCATCTTAAATTTTGATGGTGATCCTTTTTTGTCTTTTGTCTCAACTTTGAACTCAGGAGCTTCAATTTCCACTTCAACAGAAGGTTTCTCTACTTCAACATCAGGGAGTTTGACTTCAGCTTTGGCTTCTGGAAGTGTAACATCCATCTTTCTTCGATAAGCTTAAATCAATGTCAGGCCCTTTGGTTTTTGGGACAGACAATCCAAGACTTGGCAGTTTGAACTTACTTCCTTTTCCTTCATGTTCAGATCCACTGGTTTTCAAGGAGATTGAAGGTTCTTTTAATTCAGTGCTGGGTGCTGCAATGTTAACTTCAAGAACCTCTTCAGGAATCTCAATATCAGCACCATCTATTTTTATGCCTTTGTCCATATCCGGTACCTCTGCTGTTGAACTTGTGACACCCACTCCAAATTTTGGCAATTGGAATGTTGGCATCTTAAACTTTGATGGTGATCCTTTCTTTCCCTTTGTTTCAATCTTTATCTCAGGAGCTTCAATTTCCACTTCAACAGAAGGTTTTTCAACTTCAACATCAGGGAGTTTGACTTCAGCTTTGGCTTCTGGAAGTGTAACATCAACATCTTTCTTTGATAAACTTAAATTGATATCTGGTCCTTTGGCTTGAGGGACAGACAATCCAAGACTTGGCAGTTTGAACTTACTTCCTTTTCCTTCATGTTCAGATCCACTGGTTTTCAAGGAGATTGAAGGTTCTTTTAATTCAGTGCTGGGTACTGCAATGTTAACTTCAAGAACCTCTTCAGGAATCTCAATATCAGCACCATCTATTTTTATGCCTTTGTCCATATCCGGTACCTCTGCTGTTGAACTTGTGACACCCACTCCAAATTTTGGCAATTGGAATGTTGGCATCTTAAACTTTGATGGTGATCCTTTCTTTCCCTTTGTTTCAATCTTTATCTCAGGAGCTTCAATTTCCACTTCAACAGAAGGTTTTTCAACTTCAACATCAGGGAGTTTGACTTCAGCTTTGGCTTCTGGAAGTGTAACATCAACATCTTTCTTTGATAAACTTAAATTGATATCTGGTCCTTTGGCTTGAGGGACAGACAATCCAAGACTTGGCAGTTTGAACTTACTTCCTTTTCCTTCATGTTCAGCTCCTGTAGTTTTCAGGGTGAGTGAAGGTTCTTTGAATTCAGTGCTGGGTGCTGCTATGTTAACTTCAAGAACCTCTTCAGGGATACTAATATCACCACCATCTACTTTAACATCTGTGTCCAAATCAGGTACTTTTGCTGTGGCACTTGGGATACCAATGCCAAATCTGGGTAATTTGAATGTAGGCATCTTAAATTTTGATGGTGATCCTTTTTTGTCTTTTGTCTCAACTTTGAACTCAGGAGCTTCAATTTCCACTTCAACAGAAGGTTTCTCTACTTCAACATCAGGGAGTTTGACTTCAGCTTTGGCTTCTGGAAGTGTAACATCTACGTCTTTCTTCGATAAGCTTAAATCAATGTCAGGCCCTTTGGTTTTTGGGACAGACAATCCAAGACTTGGCAGTTTGAACTTACTTCCTTTTCCTTCATGTTCAGATCCACTGGTTTTCAAGGAGATTGAAGGTTCTTTTAATTCAGTGCTGGGTACTGCAATGTTAACTTCAAGAACCTCTTCAGGAATCTCAATATCAGCACCATCTATTTTTATGCCTTTGTCCATATCCGGTACCTCTGCTGTTGAACTTGTGACACCCACTCCAAATTTTGGCAATTGGAATGTTGGCATCTTAAACTTTGATGGTGATCCTTTCTTTCCCTTTGTTTCAATCTTTATCTCAGGAGCTTCAATTTCCACTTCAACAGAAGGTTTTTCAACTTCAACATCAGGGAGTTTGACTTCAGCTTTGGCTTCTGGAAGTGTAACATCAACATCTTTCTTTGATAAACTTAAATTGATATCTGGTCCTTTGGCTTGAGGGACAGACAATCCAAGACTTGGCAGTTTGAACTTACTTCCTTTTCCTTCATGTTCAGCTCCTGTAGTTTTCAGGGTGAGTGAAGGTTCTTTGAATTCAGTGCTGGGTGCTGCTATGTTAACTTCAAGAACCTCTTTAGGTATACTAATATCAGCTCCTTCTACTTTAACATCTGTGTCCAAATCAGGTACTTTTGCTGTGGCACTTGGGATACCAATGCCAAATCTGGGTAATTTGAATGTAGGCATCTTAAATTTTGATGGTGATCCTTTTTTGTCTTTTGTCTCAACTTTGAACTCAGGAGCTTCAATTTCCACTTCAACAGAAGGTTTCTCTACTTCAACATCAGGGAGTTTGACTTCAGCTTTGGCTTCTGGAAGTGTAACATCTACATCTTTCTTCGATAAGCTTAAATCAATGTCAGGCCCTTTTGTTTGAGGGACAGACAATCCAAGACTTGGCAGTTTGAACTTACTTCCTTTTCCTTCATGTTCAGCTCCTGTAGTTTTCAGGGTGAGTGAAGGTTCTTTGAATTCAGTGCTGGGTGCTGCTATGTTAACTTCAAGAACCTCTTCAGGAATACTCAATATCAGCACCATCTATTTTTATGCCTTTGTCCATATCCGGTACCTCTGCTGTTGCACTTGTGACACCCACTCCAAATTTTGGCAATTGGAATGTTGGCATCTTAAACTTTGATGGTGATCCTTTCTTTCCCTTTGTTTCAATCTTTATCTCAGGAGCTTCAATTTCCACTTCAACAGAAGGTTTTTCAACTTCAACATCAGGGAGTTTGACTTCAGCTTTGGCTTCTGGAAGTGTAACATCAACATCTTTCTTTGATAAACTTAAATTGATATCTGGTCCTTTGGCTTGAGGGACAGACAATCCAAGACTTGGCAGTTTGAACTTACTTCCTTTTCCTTCATGTTCAGCTCCTGTAGTTTTCAGGGTGAGTGAAGGTTCTTTGAATTCAGTGCTGGGTGCTGCTATGTTAACTTCAAGAACCTCTTCAGGGATACTAATATCAGCCACCTCTATTTGATACTTTCTCCATAATCCAGGTACTCTTGCTGTTGCACTTGTGATACCAATGCCAAATTCTGGGTAATTGTGAATGGTAGGCATCTTACAATTTTGATGGTGATCCTTTCTTTGTCTTTTGTCTCAACTTTGAACTCAGGAGCTTCAATTTCATTCAACAGAAGGTTTCTCTACTTCAACATCAGGAGCTTGACTTCAGCTTTAGCTTCTGGAAGTGTAACTCTACGTCTTTCTTCCGATAAGCTTAAATCAATGTCAGGCCTTTGGTTTTTGGGACAGACAATCCAAGACTTGGCAGTTTGAACTTACTTCCTTTTCCTTCATGTTCAGATCCACTGGTTTTCAAGGAGATTGAAGGCTCTTTAATTCAGTGCTGGGTCTGCAATGTTAACTTCAAGAACCTCTTCGGAACTCATATCACACCATCTATTTTTATCCTTTGTCCATATCCGGTACTTTTGCTGTTGCACTTGTGACACCACATCCAATTTTGGTAAGTGGAATGTTGGCATCTTAACTTTGATGGTGACCTTTCTTTCTTTGTTTCAATCTTTATCTCAAGCTAATTTCCATTCAACAGAATTTTTTCAACTTCAACATCAGGGAGTTTGACTTCACTTGCTTCTGGAAGGTAATATCTATGCATTTTCTTTGATAGAATTTAAATCGATAGTCCTGTCCTTTGTGCTTGAGGGACAGAAATCCAAGACTTGGCAAGTTTGAACTTACTTCTTTCTCTTTGCTCCAGTTCGGTGATAGGTTCTTTTAATTCAGTGCTGGGTGCTGCTATGTTGACTTCAAGAACCTTTCAGGGATACTAATATCACACATCTATTTGATACTCTGTGTCCAAATCAGGTACTTTCTGTGTGGCACTTGGGATACCAACTGCCAAATTTCTGGGTATTTGAATGTAGGCATCTTAAATTTTGAATGGTATCTCATTTTGTCTTTGTCAACTTTGATCTCAAGTTCAGGATTCCCTTACGGGTTTCCATTTGCACATCAGAGGGTTTGACGTTCAGTCATTTTGGCTTCTTGAAGTGTTACATCTACATCTCTTCTTATGATAACTTAAATCATGACTATCTGGTCCTTTGGCTTGAGGGACAGACAATCCAAGACTTGGCAGTTTGAACTTACTTCCTTTGCCTTCATGTTCAGCTCCTGTAGTTTTCAGGGTGAGTGAAGGTTCTTTGAATTCAGTGCTGGGTGCTGCTATGTTAACTTCAAGAACCTCTTCAGGGATACTAATATCACCACCATCTATTTTTATGCCTTTGTCCATATCCGGTACCTCTGCTGTTGCACTTGTGTCACGGGCACCAAATTTGGGTAATTTGAATGTTGGCATCTTAAACTTTGATGTTGATCCTTTTTTGTCTTTTGTCTCAACTTTGAACTCAGGAGCTTCAGTTTCCACTTCCATATCAGCGAGTGTGACTTTAGCTTTAGCTTCTGGAAGTGTAACATCTACATCTTTCTTTGATAAGCCTAAATCAGTGTCAGGCCCTTTTCTTTTTGGGACAGACAATCCAAGACTTGGCAGCTTGAACTTACTTCCTTTTCCATCATATTCAGATTCACTGGTTTCCAAGGAAATTGGAAGTTCTTTCAATTCAGTGCTGAGTGCTGCAATGTTAACTTCAAGAACCTCTTCAGGAATCTCAATATCAGCACCTTCTATTTTGATACCTTTCTCCATATCCGGTACCTCTGCTGTTGCACTTGTGATACCAATGCCAAATTTGGGTAATTGGAATGGAGGCATCTTACACTTTGATGGTGATCCTTTCTTGTCTTTTGTCTCAACTTTGAACTCAGGAGCTTCAATTTCAGTTTCAACAGAAGGTTTCTCTACTTCAACATCATGGAGCTTGACTTCAGCTGTAGCTTCTGGAAGTGTAATATGTACGTCTTGCTTTGATGAGCTTAAATCAATGTCAGGCGCTTTGTCTTGATGGACAGACAATCCAAGACTTGGCAATTTGAACTTACTTCCTTTTCCTTCATGTTCAGATCCACTGGTTTTCAAGGAGATTGAAGGCTCTTTCAATTCAGTGCTGGGTGCTGCTATGTTAACTTCAAGAACCTCTTCGGGGATACTCATATCACCACCATCTATTTTGATACATTTGTCCATATCCGGTACTTTTGCTGTTGCACTTGTGATACCAATGCCAAGTTTTGGTAAGTGGAATGTTGGCATCTTAACCTTTGATAGTGATTCTTTTTTTTCCTTAGTCTCAATTTTCATTTCAACAGAATTTTTTTCAACTTCAACATCAGGGAGTTTGACTTCAGCTTCTGGAAGAGTAATATCTATGCTTTTCTTTGAAGAATTTAAATCAAAGTCCTGTCCTTTTGTTTGAGGGACAGAAAATCCAAGACTTGGCAATTTGAACTTACTTCCTTTGCCTTCATGTTCTTTTAATTCAATGCTGGGTGCTGCTATGTTCACTTCAAGAACCTGTTCAGGGATACTAATATCAGCATCTTCTATTTTGATACCTGTGTCCAAATCAGGTATTTCTGTTGTGGCACTTGGGATACCAACTCCAAATTTTGGTAGTTTGAATGTGGGCATCTTAAATTTTGAAAGTGAGTTCTCATTGTCCTTTGTCAGATCTTCAATATCAGGATCTTCGGTTTCCATTTGAGCAGAGGGTTTTTTACGTTCAGCATCAGTTTTGGCTTCTTCAAGTGTTTCATCTACATCTCTCTTCAATAAGTTAAAATCAACTTCTGGTCCTTTTACTTTTGGCATTGTTATTCCAAATTTTGGCAATTTGAACTTGCTTTCATGTACTTCGGTTTCATCTCCAGTCTTTTCCTGGGGAAAGAAAGCTTCTGCACTCCCAAGACTTACATCGATTTTAGTTTTAATTCCAGTCTGTGGTTTGACATCAACTGTTTTCACATCAATAGATGATCCCACAATATCAGTATTTGGTGTTGGAATGTTAACATTGACACCTTCAGTTGATTTCAGCTGTGTTTCACAAATTTCAATGTCTTTTAATTTATCATGTACTTCATGACTGGTGTTGGCCACAGGAGATCCAAATTTAGGTAGCTTGAACGTTGGCATCTTAAATTTTGATGGTGATTCGTCTACATACTTTTCTACAACTTTCATTTCAGGAGCTTTAATTTCGGCATCAGAGGGTTTCACCTTCCGTTTTGTTTCTGACAGTTTCATATCTTCATTTTTCTCTGATGCACTGAAGTCAAATTCAGACCCTTTTATTTTCGGCATTGCAATTCCTAACTTTGGCATCTTGAACTTGCCTCCTTGCCTATCAAAATCACCTTCTGCCCGAGGATGTTTTATTTCCTGGTCATATTTTTCTGCCTCCATTATTCGTTCTGCAATACAAACATCTACACTTCCAAGTGTAACGTCGGTCTCAGGCGGTGGTGTCACAGCTACACCTTTCTTTGATAGACTTGAATCCGTTTTTATTCCTTTCGCCCTTGGCATGGAGATACCAACATTTGGCACTTTAAACTTGCTACCCTTTCCCTCTCTTTCAAGAGTTTTTGTCTCAGCTTCATCAGTGTTTATAGGCTTATCTCCATCGGGCACATTTACACTGATGTATGTAGTAATAGCTCCAAATTGAGGCAATTTAACTGCATGCTCTTCAGTTTCTGCACTTTTTGCCAGGGAAATATCCACGTTTGTTTTTGACTCAAGATTTACATCAAAACCTGTAAGCCTAATGCCATTGTCCTTTTTGGCTGGTGAACCATCTACTGAGTCAATGTATTCAATGCTATCGAGTTCAGGAATCACAACCTCACATACAACTCCTTCACTCTGCCCCTTTTCTTTTTTAATTTCATTTTTTGATGTCGTTACTTCTCGGAGGAATTCAGCTTTTTCTCCTTTTGTTGTGTCCCCTTTTTGCTGAAAGATATTTTGTTTTGGCAAGACAATTCCAATATTAGGGATTCTTATGTCTGGCTTTGCTATCCCAAAGCTAGGCACTGTCATCTTTGCCTTCTTTGATTTCTTATCTGATTCATATTCAGAGTTGATACCCTCTGTTCCTCGTGTTTCATCAGCCACATGTGCCTGAAGACTAGATACTTTCTCTAAACTTTCCTTTCCCGGTATTATAATATCTTCTCTTTTATAGGTCCCAGTTTTAATCTCTTTGCTGCTTTGTTTTTTCTTAGTTTCATGTTCCTTATCAGTTTTTACTGTTGTTTCAGTTAAAAGATCCTCTGAGGTTAATTGCCCGGTTGTGATCTGTGACAGCTTAACTGTAGTCTTGGAAATTTCTAGAGAAGAAGTTGTGTCAAACTTTGTAAGACTTGCTCCATGCTTTGTTTTGGTGTCTACCACTTTTGTAGGCGTTTTCACTGATATTCTTTGAGCATTTGCATCTATCACAGTAATTTCTTCTGGAATAGGCATGCCAGATGTATCAACTTTAGGCAGCTTATATCCAGGCAATTTAGAAACTGCCTCTTTCACACTGTCAACATCAATTGACAGTTGCACAGTTTCCGCTTGAAATTCTCCATTCTGTCTTGTATAATTTACCTTAGGTTCTTTAATTCTTTTTGCTCTCGTCTTCACAGACTTATCCTCCATACCTGGTATCTCAATCTCTTCCCGTTTGGGAAGTTGGGTTCTGAAATCACTGCTTTTTGCCAGTCTCTTATAAGGATCATCTGTGATTTCCTCAGCACCAACGTCACCCAAACTGAGTTTCGTCAGTTTGACAGTTTCCCCTGTTCTTCTGTCTTCGTGTTTTTCTTGGATTTCGTTGCCTTTCTGCCTTTTTGCTTCACTTTTCTGTGGATATTTTTGTGAAACTGCAACATCAGATAAATCATGTTCCACCTTAGCATAAAGAGCAGGATCTTCTGTGTGTGACTCAAAGTTTGGGATTAAGTCAGATTTTTCATTTTCAGGATGATCAGCTAAGTCAAAACTTGCCCCTAGTGTTTTTAGCCTTTTTGGTGATGATTTTGCTTTTGCTTCTTTCTTGTGTGATTTATCCTTCCCCAGAATTTTCATTTTTAATTCAGACCTTTCTTTCTTCTTTTTTTTCCCCTCAGGGGACTTGATATGAGAGGGGCTTTCTTGATCTGCTAGAGCCACAGTTAAATCTGCTGTTTTCAAAGTGCTATCTATACTGATAAGTTCCACCTTATGTTGAATAGCTTGAGCTTCACGAACCATTAGATTGGTTTCTTCAAGTTGCACATCTTTCATTACTTTCAGATCTTTTTTCACATAGGCTTCAGGCATTTCTCCTGAGGGGCTTTCAAGGCACTCAGGTGAAAGCATATCAGATTCTTGTGTGTGGTGAGTGTCACCACTGATCTGTCCAGTTTGCACATCTGTGTCCTGCTCCTCAGATGAACTTATCCGGCCTCTCTTTGTCAGACCAGGTAGTTTTATTTTATGCTTTTTCTTGTATTTGAGAGCATCCTGAGTTTTTATTGGTGACTCTGTGTCGCTTGTTGTTGGGCTGAGTTCAAGCTTTCTTTGTTCCTCAGCCTCTGAGGAACTGTGAGACCTTGTAAAACGTGATTTTCGCCCTTTTCCAAAGGATGAAAACTTGGGCCACGAAATGCGAGCTTCTCCGCGTCTTTTAGTTTTTCCTTGTTCTCTCATCTGTGGAGTGTGGAGGTCTTCTTCCTGTTAAGAAGCATAAAAATTAAAGGTAAGTCGTTACTAACAAATAAAAATAACTAACAAAGAGTTTGAGCAGACAACTTTGAGAATAGTTACAGGTATAACGTCAGATTCGATGGCTGGTTCGGTCTCTGTGATCTCTGGCTTGCGCTTCAAGCAAAGCTTCAGTTTATATGCCTGAGCATGCTCCAGAATCTGAATGGCATCCTCATATGACATGTTGTCAAAATACACAGTGGCACTCAAAATCTGATCACCTGTGTAGACAAGACAAAATATTTCAAAAGGACTTTGATGAGCAGACTTTTAAGTCCCATTTTTAGTTGATAAAAATTGAAGTGTTCAATAAAAAAATCAAATAAAGAATAACATTAACATTTGCTTGTGTTCAACGTACAGTGCTAAAAAAATTATAGTAACACTTTGAAAACACATAAGATCTCAATGGGAGGAAAAAAATCATGCTGGATATCGACGCTGATAAGAACTGGGTAATGTGTTAGGAATGAATGGCCTCATCATTTGATTGAAATAAAAATTATCAACTTACAGGGGGCTGAATTCAAAAAGCAGACTAGTCCATTTTGCCAAAATTTCATTGCAGCAGCTCAAAATGACAGCCAGTTGTAGTTGGGTGTCATTTTGTGCTTGAATTCATGCATGACAAATTCAGGCAATGCTTCCAGTGAGACAACAGATGGTGTCCTGGGGGATCTCCTTCCAAATCTGGACCAAGGCATTGCCAGGTTCCTACAACGGGGTATCATTGTATGGACCGAAACATAACATCCCAGAGGTGTTCTGTTGAATTTAGGTCAGATGAGTGTAGGAACCAGTCAATGGTATCAATTCATTCATCCTCCAGGTACCATTGCCTACAAGGAGGAACCCAGGATCTCGGTTGCCTCAACCTGTAAAACATTCCTGTTTTGTCGCACCATTGCCCTTCTAGTGTACCTGTTGTTGATTTCATTAGCACCAAAGCAGCTGAAACTGATTAGCAAGCCCCTCTGCTATATATCTGACCACGTCAGTATCCCAGCAGTTTGACTGACTTGATGTTTTACTCTTATTAAAAGTGTTCCTTTAATTTTTTGAGCAGTGTAATTGTCAATTGAATATTGCAAATTAAAAATTCTACAATAGCATAACATAAAATCAAGTAGAATACAGAATGTAATAATACATAGTAATGTAATGTAATAATATGGAGACTTTAAACCTATAATAATTTTAATGAGACAAATTTTTAGCCGCAGGTTTACCTTCTTTCAGCTTTAGATTTTTGGAGGCTGGTGACTCTGGCACTACTTCCTTAATGAAAATCCCTTCTTTTCCCCCTCCACCATAAATGAGACCCTCTGCACATCCATCTTTGGCTGTTTTCACTATCACCTCAGATTCAGGGCTCTCAGCTTCCTGCCAGTGCAAAAAAGGACAGTCATTTTACCTTTAGCACTGATTTTTTTTTTTTTCTGCAGCTGCATAGCTTGAAAGGATTTACAAATGCAGTACACAGAGGAAAAGCTAGAAATGTCTCACCTTGAGTTTACTCATCTTTGGAGTAGAGCGCTTTTCGAACATGGACCCAAGCCCAGACTTTTTAGTTTTCTTTCCAGTCCCACCTTTGTGGCGTGGGTCATGCTCTGCTTCACACTAAAAGGAGTTTAAGAGGAGCAAAGGGGTTTAAAAAGTAATCTTATAATACTCAGATCAGGAGGGTACATTCATTTATACAGGGGAGTAGCCAAGTTATTGCAATATTATACAATGCAGAGCTCATCTTGGACCACACATTAGCACACAAATCTGTAAAGAGAAATAAGTAATAGAAAGTAAGTAATAGAACAACTAATAAAAACACAATGTTATCTTTCACAGTTTCTACATTTTCATGTGGATGCTGTCCAGAAACGGTCTTCTTCAGTTTCACCTTTTGTTTTGTCATTTCAGGACATGCAGCCGTGTGAGTATAACTGAGTCGAATACACAAACTTCTTTCTTTCAGTCACAAGTTTGTTTTTCTAACTTCATTTATTTTTTGGCCTGAAAAATAGACCGTTGACTTACATGCAGACTATTCAATAACTGTGAGTTTACATGCAGTGAAGTAGCAGCGTTATAATTTCCCAGCTGAGGTGAAGAATTAAAAGAAAGCGAGTTATTTCTGCCAGAGAAGCCTGATTTTTTTGGACATGGTTGTATTGTAAACAATGCTCTGTTCTATTGTCTTAACTGGATTTTCAAGACTAAACAAGCTAAAAGCTTGGGGGGGGCGGCGCCTCCCTGAGCCTGGTTCTGCTGGAGGTTTCTTCCTGTTAAAAGGGAGTTTTTCCTCTTGGTTCATGCCAAGTGCTTACTCATAGGGGATCGAGTGATGTTGTAGGACCTTAAAACATGAAGCGCACACGTAACTTAAAATATGTGTGGTGTTTCTCTGTACCTCTTTATCACTGTCGCTGTATTTTTCAGTCTCAGGATACTCCTCAACTGGAGATGACCCTTGTGGGCGTGGTCTCTCATTCTCTGCGAACTGAGATGGCTCATCACACATCTGCATGGACATAAGGTCAGTAAACATGAAAACAAACCTGTTTTCATCATCACCCCTAAGAAATTTCATATTATTTCATTTGGATATTATCAAGCCTAGAAAGCATCTATTTTCTTGAGCTGCATATAAAATGTTTTCTTATTAAAAGTCATGCAGCTGCACCTGCAGCATAAACAACAAAAAAAAAAAGATATGGAGGAAAATTGGATCCCAGATAGTGCGATAGCACCTTGTTTAGCCAAAAGCATCACTGACTGGGTGTTTAGCTATTTGGCATTTAAAAACTGTCACATTATTGGTGTGTTTCCTGAGATGGCAGCGTTGGCTAGTCTGTCAGGCCAACACTTTGAGCAAAATACTGTGTGCATGTGTACTTTGTGTGTGTGTGTGTGTGTGTGTGTGTGTGTGTGTGTGTGTGTGTGTGTGTGTTGTGTGTGTGTGTGTGTGTGTGTTTGTGTGTGTGTGTGTGTGAGAATGAAGTGTAGATTCTCATTTTCATCATCCATCATCCAAACCAGAATTAACCAAAAGTTGTTGTTTTTCAGCTGCTAGCCCATGATCGGTGACAGCCTTGTTTATATTAGACTGATGTGATCATTTTTCAGTGCAGCACAAATATTAGTCAGCCAATCTGTATAAATACTATACACTGATTTGTACAAATTTCTTCTCTGATAAAAAGTATTAGTTGAAATGGGTTGTTGTTATTTGCCTATCTGTGCATAGTCTCCATTAGCACTAAGTCTTGTCTCTATTTGCTTTGCTGTAAAGTTAAAATAACTGTTGTTCAGTATTTATTAGCTCAGACTCCAACATCAACATCATAATCTATCAATCAAACATGGTGGATCCAGTTTTAAGGCACAGGAATATGTGACCGCCTTCAAACAGAAACTGAACTGTTGATCACTTTGGTGATCTAGACGCATTACTTCATACAGTCTGTTGTCACTGTATAATACAAAATCCTAAAAACATATGACAACGTTGAGAACGTACAGTAGATTTCCTTCTATGGAATGAAACATTTCAGCTGTTTGTTGGTGAAAATGTGCTAAATATGGAAAAGGGGGATTAAAATGAAAAGAAAAATATAAAAACAGGACAAAAACAGTAAGGACATAATACACACATCTGTAAATGTAAAATTGTATAGTCTGAAGTATATGAACTATTGATTTAACAGCTTTAATGTTATTATTCCACAGTGTTGATGACCCAGTAGGACCACCTACTCCCTTGTCACTCATTCACAGTGACACATTTACTTACACAATATAATGCCCTCATGTTATGTTATGTTATGTTATGTTATGTTATGTTATGTTATGTTATGTTATGTTATGTTATGTTATGTTATGTTATGTTATGTTATGTTATGTTCATCCTCCAGGTACCATTGCCTACAAGGAGGA